GCAGGTGGTAGTGCTATGGGTGGTTTTATGTTATCTTAATTGTCTATCTTCCTAGACAAAAAGTAAAATTATATTGTGTTACTGCTTTTTGATTTTATAGCCTTGGGAACTTTTCTTTTTTTTTCTTTTTTCTTTGTTTTTTTAAAAGATTGATTTATTTATACAAGAACCGGGGTACAGGCCAGATGTGCAGTAGGGTGAGAGGACTCACCAGAGACAGAGCAGGGAACAGAACAGGCAAATGACCAAAATGCACTGCTGAGGGGAGCAGTGGGTGAGACAGGAGGGGTTTGCTTCACCATGTGGGATTCTCACCGGGATCAAACCCGCGCTGCAGAGGCTCGGGACAGCTTCACAGCACTGTACTCAACCACCTGCGCCACCAGGGAGGCCCAGCCTTGGGAACTTTTAGAGGGGGGAAAAAAAAAACCAGTCATCTTTCTGTTGATAATCATAAATAGAGTTGTAAAATCTTCAAGGTCTAAACCACATGTTTCCCTGTTTATTTATAACCAGTAATTTTTGAGACCTGCTGGTTCTATACCCTGTACTAAGTATGATAATACTGTATCTTTATTATAATAACTGTATCTTTATTATCTGTAACTAAGATACAGATAATAAAACATGATTCCCCCAGTATCAACTCTCTTGTGCAAACTGGTAGCTGAAGGTAAACAATTAAACATTTTTCCTCCCTTTCCAGTAGGATCAGTTCATCAGGGCAAACATAACCCATTGATGAACAAAGGCTATTCTTTAAAAAGAATGCTAGGTTATAAATGCTGAAGGAATAATAAAATTTAGAAAAGTCACCATTGTGCAACCGCCAATAAAATAATTGATTTGTGCAGTAATCCATGGATCTTGTGTATCCTGTTCCAATTTCCTGAGTGGGCTGCCCCTGCCTTCCTACATGAACTCCCTATTTACCTCATGTCTAGGTTACATTCAAACCTGGAGCCCCCTCTTAATTCCACTTGTATACTACATATCCCACTGGGCTGCTGGGACTCTTCCCAACACACAGGAAGTCTCCCCGCCTTGGGGGGAAGGACCTGACTGCCTGGAGAGAAAGGAGAAGAAAGAGCAATTGTGTGTGTGTAGGTTTAGTTTTAAAGAAATTGATGTACTGCTGCATTCAGTATGACATGTTAATTTTCCTTGCAAAGGAATGTTAGTCCAGTTTTTATTTTTTCCTTCTCAATGGTGCTACTTTGAACAATGTAATTTTATTAATATTGTTATTAATGTAAGGTTTTTACCCTGATAACTCTATATCCTAATTTTTACTTTTAAGATGCTATCGAATATTAAGGTAATTGTGTCAGTAACTAGAGTTTCTGCCAATTAATCCACCCAAGTTGTACTTCCTACAAACATTTAAAATAAGATATTTATTTACTAAATGTTAAATTCCCACTATGTATAGGACACTTAGAAATAAAAAGTTCAGTATTGCCTTTTTCCTAGGGGTTTAAATTCTAGCTGGGAAGACAGGAACATGTACCACTCTTGTGGTTTGCATACCTATATATAATACAAATCTTAACAATGTATAGGAGTTCAGAAAAGTGAGCAATTAGTTTTTGGGGGGTTGGGGACATTATTCCTGAGAAACTTCTCAGAAGAGGTAACTTTCAAACTAGGTGTTCAGGGTAAGGAAATGGCAGGGATAAGGCACACGGTTGAGGACATTATCTAGTCAGGGAAGGGGCTATTGTCTGGAGTAAGTGGGAACAGATGTGGACCAGGGGGTGATAGGGAAGAGGTGAGATTAGGAAGGTTGATGACTGTGTGAATGGTTTTGAAAGTCATGCTTAATGATGTCGGTCTTGGGCCTCCCCTGGTGGTGCAGCAGCCTCTGCAGCGCCGGTTCGATCCCCGGCTGCCGGCAAGGGTCCCACATGGCGCGACAGACCCCTCTTGCCATGCCTGCTGCTCCCCTCAGCAGTGTATTGGCGCGACAGACCCCTCTTGCCATGCCTGCTGCTCCCCTCAGCAGTGTATTTCATCAGCCTGCCTGTTCTGTTCCCCGCTCTGGCTCTGGTGAATTCTCTCACCCTCCCGCGCTTCTGACTATACCCAGTGCTTGTATAAATAAATAAATAAATCTTTTAAAAAAAAAAAAAACCTTTTAAAAAAAAAATGATGTTGGTCTTCATTCAGATGGCGTAGGGGATTGGTTGAAAGATTTTTGTACCAGCAAGTTGATTTCTATTTTTATTTTATTTTTTTTTTTAATGATTTTATTCTTCCCTGATTTTTTTTTTTTTTAAAGATTTATTTATTTATTTATTTATTTGTGCAAGCACTGGGAACAGTCAGAAGCGCAGGAGGGTGAGAGAATTCACCAGAGCCAGAGCGGGGAGCAGAGCAGGCAGAAGGACCAAAGTACACTGCTGAGGGGAGCAGCGGGTGGCAGGGGAGGTCTGCGCGCCATGTGGGACCCTCTGCCGGTGGCCAGGGAGCAGCCGGGGATCGAACCGGCGCTTCAGAGGCTGCGGGCAGCTTCGCAACCCAGCGCTCAACCACTGCGCACTGGGGAGGCCCTGATTTCTATTTTTAGAAATAACACTTAAGCAGGAATTTGTGGATTGCAGATAGGTAAAAATTAGTCTCTCTAATCCAGACAAACTACTCTTGATTCTAAACCAAGGCAGTAACAGTTGATAGGTAGAAGCTGCCAGTCCAAGAGCCATGCGGGGAGGTTTCAGCTACAGTGCCTCCTCTACCCCTTACGGTAGACTAGTTTCTTAGCGCATTGCTGACTTTCCTTAGGTTATTCTGTACCTTTCAGTGTTCTGATATCATTTCAAATGGATACTCCTTATCCATTGCCTGTCCCATCATAGGTACTTTGTACAGTACCACTACATTAGTTGTATCTTGCTCTGTAACAAATCACCTGAAAATGTAGAGACCTGAGTCAGGAATTCAGTCAAGGCATGGCAGGAATGACAGGTCTCTGCATCTCAACTGAAAGATGTGAAGGTGGATGCTGTATTCATCCTTCATTTTCCTGGCAGTTGCTGACTATCAACTAGAACACCCATGTGTGTAACCCATGTGTCCTGGGCTTCCTCACAACTTGAGCAGAGTATTCCGAGAATCATGGTAGAGAAAAAGCCTGGTGGAAGCAATACTGCAATTTATGCTGTAGCCTCAGAAGTCACATAGCAACAGTTCCACAGAGGTTTGCAGAATCACACAGAGGGAGGTTAGATCCTGCCTTGATACAAATTTAATCACAAAGGACTTTAGCCCTTTTGGGAAAGTGTAGTCTACCACATCTGTTTATTCATAGTACTTACCTCTGTCCTTATAGATATTTAAAATTCTTTTTACCCTATCTAAAATAAAACTTCCATTTCTTTGCCCATATCCCTAGAGTAGTATGGAGATATCTACCTCAGATTTGGCCTCACTGAAATGTGAATTTATGGAGTTTGTTTGTTTTTAACATGGGGTGTGTTTTGTCAGCTAACCCACAAAATACTATATATCAAGTCTGAACACATTCAGTTTGCGTAATACTGGGCAGAGAGGTAAAGAATCTGTAATCATGGTCTAGAACTTGGCTGGATTTTTCTCTCCTGATAAGATTTAGTATTTTTTCTCTATTTGCACAATTCAAAATGTGATTTTAGTTGTCCATTTACAGGAAACTGGTTGAGTGATAGGCTTTGGTTGAACTTGAATCCGAAGATGAAGTATTTGTCCTGGAAAAAAATTATAAACTATGGGTCACAGATATATTGAAAGGTTCAAGCCAGACAGAATTGAAAAGGATTTGTGATATGCTGAATGATGGCTCTGAATGACTTAGAGGATTCCCCTTCAGATTTAAGAAGAAATAAATTGTTCATTGCTCCTCTGAAAATCAAACCAAATAGAATCCTTTCACTAGTAAACCTCCTAGGCAATGTGCTAGGAAATCTTCCTGCAGTTTAACTTCACAGATATTGGTTGGAAAGACTCTGAAAAAACCAAATAGGGTGCAGGTACATTGAAAGCCTCAAGATCAGTCAAACTAAAGCTGGAGCTTACTATGATTCTGCTTAAAGGCTGATGGCCATATACTAACCAGATCATCTGACAGGCCTGTGGCCAGTGGAGATGTAATGGCATAAGCACGCAAGCCAGCTTTGAAAGGTACTTATGGTGGAGGTTATATAAACTGAGAAGACAGTGGTTGGAACTAGCTGTCAGGGCGATAGAGCAGGACCCAGAATTTCCTTATCTAGCAGCTCTAGAGAAAACACATTAAAAGTAACCTTTGGAAGAGTAACTAGAGAAACAGATGTACTATTTTCTTCTTTTGAAGATGCAGTGGCTTATATATAAACTATGAAAATCAGACAACAGATATGTATCATCAAAATATTGGATAGCCAGATGATAAAAGGTCAGCAGCTATTTTTGTGAGAAGAAAATTAGAAGCTGGATATTAAAAATGACAAATCATTTGAAAAATGATATGCCTGTAGTGTATGAAACATCTTTCAGAATTTTGGGAGTGAATTGGACTACGTAAAACGATTTGGAAAGTGGAAAGAATCTTTGGATATACCACATCAATGGAACAAGTGAAAGAAGTCTGAGAAACAGAAGGCAAGTGCAGGTTGAGGAGCTAATCTTAGCAGTGATAACCCCAGAAGCACCAGCTGGACAGGGCCTGAGAAAGAGTGGTTTTTGGTGCCTTTATTTTTACCCAGAACAGCCAAGTAACCTAAGTGATTTGCTTTGGGAGAAACAACTGATGAGAGGTAGGAATGTCTCTTGAAGTGTGTCATGTTAAAACTCATTCAGCCTGTGTCCTGACAGGCGGATTGTCATTGCCGCCTTTCAGATTTAAATAGTTTGTAGGATACCCAACAAAATATCTGCCATGTAGTAATAGAGAACTATTACCATTATTGTTGTCTTTTTAAATGTTTATGTTTTGAGATTAAATTGGTTAGAATGTCTAAGTAACCATCCTACTTTTTTTCTCTTAGATCTGTGACTTTGGATTGGCGCGTGTTGCAGATCCCGACCATGATCACACAGGGTTCCTGACAGAGTATGTAGCTACACGTTGGTATAGGGCTCCGGAAATTATGTTGAACTCCAAGGTAAGAAGCATGCTTGCATTTAACAAACAAAAAACCACAGGAAGTCAAAACTTCAAATGTGTGTTACAGTAGGTCTACTTCTCAGTAATGCTGTTTCTACCTGGGTTGAGGCATGGCTGTGTGGCCAGTCCCTGGATTTTGGCTTTTCCGCTTCAGCCAAAATAGTACTAATTTGTTACAGAGTTGCAGGGCATTCTTCTGTAGTCACTATTAGAATAAATGGTCTGTGTCCCATCCCTTGGTCAGCTCTCCTGAAGTTCTAGTATTTATGGCAGTTTTCCTTACTGCTTCTGACACTGCCAGATGCAATCTGCATTTATGTTAGAAGTTATCTGATTGTGTTTATTTCTGTGAACATGAACCAAAGCTCTTGTGTAAAGGTCAGATTTTTCTGATAATGAAGACTGCCTCTTCAGCAAAATTACTGTATAAATAGGTCTGGAAAGAATGGGAACTGCTATGGATCCTGTCAAAGTTAGATGCTTACAAATGACCTGTGTTTCTCCATATCTTGAATAACCATGGAGAGTGCATCCAAGTCACAAGCAAAATCTTCTAACAAGGTCTTTATCTTGGTCATAAGAAATGATAGAATAAGTTTTAAAAATAAAAAGTGAAGTAGAGCATCTTTGTCAGGTTTGTGGGCCAGGTTGCAAGAGTTGAGAACTGTTTATGGAGTTTAAGATTCAATATTTTTAAAATAATGAGTGAATGAGTGAAAATAATGAATAAATGAATAAAATGAAAAATGAATAAATAGGGTATCAAATCTGGGGAGTTAAGTGGGCCTGGCATCCTGGCTGTAATGTCTCAAGATTATGAGATTCTTGAACTCAGTTCCATCTACTATAATGTAACATTAAGATACATGAAAAAAAGCAATTAAAAATAGAAGCTGACTCTCATGCTCTCATGTCTTTGTTTGAGGAACCAGAAATAGTCCTAAATGGCTTGATGGGATTAAAAGAAACAAGTCTAGTTAACCCCTAGGCTGTATTCTCTTTCTTCATCCTCTAGAAGTTGAAGGACTTGAGGTGAATATTAAATTGTTCTTGAGGAAATGGAATTGGCTTAAAGCAATTGGTTATTGATAACAGATTTATTCAGTTCAGTTCTAAAAGTAAAATTCCATTAAAATAAATTCCATCTTAAAGAATTTGGTGTAACATGTTTCAAAGACAAAAATAACCGTTGATGCTCTTAAAATTCTGTATTACAAATAATCCCACACAGCAGGTACTTTCTTTGGCCACATTACAGCTATTCCAAACCAGTAGCATTTGTGTGTACTTTTTTTTTTTTTTAAAGATTTATTTTATTTATACAAGAGCCAGGTACAGGCCAGATGCACGGGAGGGTGAGAGGATTCACCAGGGACAGAGTGGGGAACAGAAGAGGCAGACCAACAGAAACACACTGCTGAGGGGAGCAGCGGGCGAGACAGGAGAGGTCTGTCGCGCTATGTAGGTATTTCTGCAACCGGCAGGGATCAAACCGGCATTGCAGAGGCTGCGGACAGCTTCACAGCACTGCGCTCAACCACCTGCGCCACCAGGGAGGCCCTTGTGTGTATTTTTATGGTACCTGCTGGTTGCAAAGATGAACTGTTGGTCTCCTTTTTGTCCTGGTGCCCTCATGGTCTTGCAGCCCCCATCTCACTGATACACTTCCAATCTTCACTTCTCAGTCACCGCCCAGAAGGAGAGTAGTCGAGGAAGGTGACCTTTGCATTCTGCAAGGTGCCCAGTACTCCCTTTGTGCAGTTACCTCTAGGTGAAAACAGTGATTTTTTTTTTTTTTTTAGTTCTAGTCTGAGAATGTTGCTTCTGTCAAGAGCAATGTGTTTATTTTTCTTATTAGACCATTTTCAAATCTATAGGCAAATTGAGGGTGCAGTGACCACCCATATACTCCTTACTCAGGTTTGTTTTCCTGAGTCCTTTGGGAATAAGTTGGAATTGTGCCTCTTCACCACTGAATGTATTGGTGTGTATTTCCATATAATAGTGACTCTTATGTTCCCCAAAGACATTTGGCAATGTTTGGAGGCATTTTTGGTGGTCATTTTGGTTGCAAAATTGGAGAGAGAAGTGCTGCTAGCACTTCTAGCATCCGGTGGGTAGACGTCAGAGATGCTGCTAAACATTCTATAATACACTGGACAGTCCCCACAGCAAAGACTTATATAGCCTAAAGTATCAGTAGTGCCAAGGTTGAACAATCCTTCCTTAAGAGAAGGATATTCTATCTTGATCATAATACAGTGATTAAGTAGGAAATTTGACAGCAGTACAATATCTAAAACACAGTTTATGTTTGTATCCCAAGATAACCTTTATAACTTTTCTTCCCCCCGTCTAGACTCCCCCATTGCATTGTATCTGTAGTCCTTTAATCTGAAAAAGTTACTCAGCCTTTCATGACCATGACATTTTTTGAAGGGTGCAGGTCAACTGTTTTATAGAATACAATCCAATTTTGTATAGTGCATTTTGAGTATGAATACCACAGAAACAATATTTTGTTTTCAGTGCATCTTATCTGGGAGTAGATCTGATTTATGTCAATATTGGTGGAGTTCATGTTGATCTTTTGGTATGTTGGTGTCCTCCAGATCTCCAGCCACAATTATGGTGATAATTATAGTAATATTGTGATAATAATAATTATGGTGGTGATTAATAGGAATTTGTTGGGGAGTACTTTAAGACTATGCAAATTACCTTCATCAGACTTTCACCCAGTAGTTTTAACCATTCACTGATGATGTTATAACCGTCATTCATTATTTATTTTAGTTTCTCTTAATTTATAATTTTTTTTTCAATGATATTATCCATAACCTACTGTATTTTGATGTTCATATGATCCCAGATTTTCCAGTGTGAGCTACTTATAACTTCTCCCCACTGCTTTTTGGCACTAGATGCTTCAGGCTTACCTTACAGTACCAGACATGGCACGGCCTTTTCTTCAGGGAGCCTTGGCATAACTCAAAAATAAACAAAACAAAAAAATTTTAAAAAACACTATTTCTGCACTGTTGTATGATTTAGGTAGATAATTCTTCCATGTCTTTTTTTTTTTTTTTTAAGATTATTTATGCACACAAGAGCTGGGGTATAGGCCAGAGGTGTGGAGGCTGAGAGGATCCACCAGAGACAGAGTGGGGAACAGAACAGGCAGATTGATTGAAGTATACTGCTGAGGGGAGCAGCGGGCAAGTCAGGAGAATTCTGCTGCGCCATGTGGGTTGCTCCCTGGCTGGCCATAAATCAAACTCATGCTGCGGTGGCTGTGGATTGCTTCATAGGTTGCATCTTAACCCTTGCGCCACCCTCTTCCATGTCTTTTCACAGAATTCCTTTAAAAGAAAAATTGTATCTGAAAAACAAATAGATAAAGAAAACAAAAATATGGATTTGGTGGAATAATAATGGAGTCAGCACTTTTTTTTTTTTTTGCCGTGATCAAGAGTTTTCAACCTGACTTTTTTTTTAAAATGACTTGCAAAATAGATGAATATATTCCTTAAGTGTAGCTGTACACTTTTTTTTTAAGTTGGTTTCCAAAATGAGTAAATAGGCCACAGATGTCCTAGCTATTACTACTATTTACCTTTTCTAGCTCCAGCTTATACAGAATCTAATTCTTTCTCTGAAATCATTTGCAAAAGTGATAATGTACACTTAGGAAATTCTAATTTAATAACAAGTTAATCAGCTTTGAAGAGAGAAATAAAATCAAGTAATAGCCTTTGTTTATTTCTGAAATACAGACCCAGAGTAGCAGTTAAAACTCATGTCAGCCATGTGTCTGTCATGTAATTCTCTCTGTGTCATGTCACACCAAATATCATCCTCAATCTTTTCTTCCTTTCTATGGCAGGGCTATACCAAGTCCATTGATATTTGGTCTGTAGGCTGCATTCTGGCAGAGATGCTCTCCAACAGGCCCATCTTCCCAGGAAAGCATTATCTTGACCAGCTGAACCACATTCTGGGTAAGGTTTCCAAGCACTCTGAGGGCTAGGTTTACTCATTTTACCTGCCTGCGTTTTACATTAGAATCACTTCAGTAAATTAAGAAGAGTTCTAATAACTCTTTAATCTCTGGTAGATAGGAGTTTCTAATCTCACTTGATTTAACATGTTAAAAACCCCTGTAAAAACTTGTTAATAAAAAGGTAAGCATTGGGAGGTGGTGAGAAGACACTGATTACCAGGGGTTAATTCTGCCCCACAGCTGGTGGTGTGCAGTTGGTTTATCTTGGTCTTAACTATTAACAACTAATTATTTTATCTGATAGGTATTCTTGGATCCCCATCACAGGAAGACCTGAATTGTATAATAAATTTAAAAGCTAGAAACTACTTGCTTTCTCTTCCACACAAAAATAAGGTGCCATGGAACAGGCTGTTCCCAAATGCTGACTCTAAAGGTAAATATTATTTCATTGATTATTTTTCTTAGGCTTAGCTTTTTGTCTGTGTGTTTTATTAGTTAAATCATTAGATCAGTAGCCTGAAAAGGTAGCCTTTGACTAGTGACTAGTGCCTTGTTTAGTGTTCATTCTTTATTGCTCTCTTTCCTTTTTATTTATATTTATTTATGCATACAAGACCTGGGGTGTAGGCCAGAGGTGCAGGGGGTGAGAGGAATCATCATAAACAGAGTGGGGAGCAGAACAGGCAGATCCACTGAAATATACTGCTGAGCAGAGTAGCGGGCGAGAGAGGAGAGGTCTCCTGTGCCATGTGGATAGCTCCCTGGCCCGGGATGTAACTGATGCTGTAGAGACTGGTGATAGCTTGATAGTGCTGAGACTTTACCCTGTACCACCAGGGAGGCCCCAGTACATATCTTTCTTATGTTTAGTGAATTTACAATATTTTCACCTAATCTATTGGAAAATTTAACTTTTAATTTTTGCTCTTTTGTGTGTGTTTTTTAAAAGCTTTAACAACTGTCTACGTAGATGTTGGATATTGGATTTGTTTTATGTATTGACCTGAGTCAAGATTCAGAAACATTTTGGCTATTTAAAATTGAATTTCCTTAAGTCAGAAGGAAAAAGAAAAAAAAATCAGATGGTTTCAGAATGTAGTAAACTAAACAAAGGGTTAGAAAAAAGACAAAACTTGCAGGCATATTATAGATCCAAGGCATATAGCAGGGTCAAAACAGGAGGGAAGAGTACAGGGTACTATGGTGACAGTTCATGGGTTACGTGATGGTGGGAGATTTATGGATATTACACTTGAAGGGAGAAATTAAATATTGTAAAAAAAAAATGAACAATGATGTAAGAAAATAAAGTTTAAAAACAAAATAATAAATAAGTAAATAAAATTGAATTTCTTTTGGAAGTAGGAGGAACAGTCTTTTAGAATTCTGATATGAAGGTAGTGTATAATTATTGTAGACAGTTTAGAGGTATAGAAAGAATAGGTAAAAGAATAAGGTACTCTTAATTACCAAAACTCCAGCATAACCTTTTTAACATTTTGTTGTACCAGTGTGTGCACATCTCCAACCTATGTAGTTATCTTATAGTTATATATTCTAACCACTGGAATTTTAAAATTAGAACATCATGTGTTTTGTGCATGTTGCTGATTAAATTCACTTACAGGGCCTCCCCGGTGGCGCAGCGGTTGAGCGCTGGGTTGCGAAGCTGCCCGCGGCCTCTGCGGCGCTGGTTCGATCCCCGGCTGCTCCCCGGCCACCGGAGGAGGGTCCCGCGTGGCGCGCAGACCTCTCCTGTGGCCCGCTGCTCCCCTCAGCAGTGTACTTCGGTCCTTCTGCCTGCTCTGCTCCCTGCTCTGGCTCTGGTGAATTCTCTCACCCTCCCGCGCTTCTGACTGTACCCAGTGCATGTATAAATGAATGAACAAACAAACAAACAAACAAATAAAATAAATAAAAAAACATGCCTCTATAAAAAAAAAAAAAATAAAAATAAATTCACTTACAAATGCTGTATCTCCCTTAAAGGTGTCAGCTAAATCTTACTTCCTGGGTTGTCTTTTTTTTTTTTTTTTTAAGAGATACGTGCATAACAAAAAAGCATAGTTAAGACTTATGATAAACAGACCTTCCGGGCTTCTCTCCTGTTTCTTTCCTCACTATTTTCTGTAGTAGTTAGTCATGACTTGCAATTATTTCAAGGCTTTTTTAGCTTATTTTTCTTTGGTTAAGATCATGAACTTTGAGATTAGTTCATTCTGATAACACCACTAAAATTCAGAAAGTTAACTTTTACATGTAGGTTTTGGATGGATATAATACAAGCAGGGAAGGACTACGTATAAGTAGAATAAAGTAGAGAAATGTGAGTTGGTAGTACTGGAATGAGTTAGGAGCACAGCCTTTGCAGCCAGACCTGTTTCATTCCACAGCCCCACCACTTACTAGCCATGTGAACTATTTAACCTCTCTGAGCTTTAGTTTTCCTGTTTATGAAAAAGGATTAGTAATAATACCTGCATCACAAGATTGTGGCATTTGTAGGTCTGGATTTTGAGATCTCAAGACTGAAATATATCTTGGAGATCTTTGTATCTCTGTAGTTACAAAGAGTAACTACAAAGTGTTCCTTTAAAGGGATCAGCCATAGTGTCTTTAACCATTCTCATATTGGACATTGAAGTTCACATCAGTTACCTGTTGCTGAATAACAAGCCACTCCATAACTCCATAACTTGGCAGCCTTTAAGCAACCACTATGTATTTGTTCATAAGTTCATTGTACTGGGCACAGCTGAGTAGGTCTGCTCTACTCACCTCAAGTTGCATGGTTCTCCTCTGTGCTGTTGTCTCTCATCATACAGTAGAGCAAACTGGGCTGCTTCTCATGATGGCAGAAATATTCCAAAAGAGCAAGAACAGAAACTGTGAGGTCTCTGAAGGCCAGGTCACAGAATAGAGACCCTTCTGCCATAGTCTATTGTTCTGAGCAAATCACAGGTCAGCCCAGATTCAGGGGGTAGAGAAATAAATGCACCCATTGATGGCGAAGCCGCAAAGAATTTGTGGCCATATTTTATCTGCCACCAGGTGGGTTTTAGTTTTTTACTATAACACACATAAATTCATTCATTTAATAAATAGATCTGAGTGGGTATTCTGTGTCATCAAGGGTACTTAGGTCCTGGACATAGAAAAGCAGTAAGACAAAGAACCTGCCTATTGTGAACTATTACTATTAGAGCTGTATGAAAATGACATAAAGAAATGAATGAAAGACCTTAGGAAACTTGAGGTTAAAACTTTCAAACTGAAACACCAGGACTTTTAACTCTGATTTTTTTTTTTTTTAAAGATTTATTTATTTATTCATACAAGCTCTGGGTACAGTCAGAAGCGCGGGTGGGTGAGAGAATTCACCAGAGCCAGAGTGGGGAACAGAACAGGCAGAATGACAAAATACACTGCTGAGGGGAGCAGCAGGTGGCAGGAGAGATCTGCCCACCATGTGGGACCCTCGCCAGTGGCCAGGGATCGAAACAGCGCTACAGAGGCTACGGGCAGCTTCGCAGCCCAACGCTCAACCACTGCGCCACCAGGGGAGGCCCTTAACTCTGATTAATGATACTGCACAGAACAGGAAATTAAATACCTCTTAAATATAAAAAAGGTACTCATTTTTATTCATTAAATAATATATGAAAATTGAAAGATCAGTACTCCCACTGCCTTTAGCCCCCCATCACAGTAGCAGGCATCAAAAAGTTTGATAACCCGCTGTGTGGTCAAGGTTGTGGGGAAATGGATGTTCTAAGAGACAGCAAGAGGCATTTTAATTTGTTTTTCCTTAATAGTGAGAGTGAATATTTTTTCACATGTTTGTTGGAAATTGCTGATTGCTGAGTCCCTGAACCAGTAGTAGTATAGATTTTTCTTCAGAAGAGTTTAACTTAGGATTCTCTCCAAAATTACTCCCCTGAAGGGGAAGAAATGATTATTATTCAGCAGATGGTACTAGGCTGGTTGAATAGCTGTTTGGAAGAAAATCAACACATCAAAATTAATTCCAAAAGAATTGATGATTAAATAATCTTTTTAATCATACTATTAAAAATTAATAATATTTAGAGTATTCAGTTTTTTTCTGGTCTCTGCATGGAGTCTATCATCCTATCCTAAGCTTTGAAAACAAACATAATGGAAACAGATTTAATCACAAAAATGTTTAAAACTTTGATTAGACAGATCAGGTTTGATAATAGATATAAAATGTTCTAAATTGAATAACATTTAAAGGATCCCTATCGTAACTGTTCTGTTAAAGGCAGTTAGGATTAGGGCCATTCACACAGATTAGTGGGTCAGCTATTTGAAGCCTTCTCAGTTCCACATAAGAAGAACCTGTTCTTGAGTGACTTAGACCTAAAGCAGGACTTTATTGGCTCCCACAACTAACACGTGCAGTCGTACTTGGACTCCAGCCACTTTGACCAGAGTCTGTACTTGTTTATTGTTCAGCGTTGCCTTTCTGTGTGTCTTGCTAGTCAGCCTCCTCTTGTTAATACGACTACCAGCAGCTCTAGGCTCACACCGACCTTCTACTGATAGTTTCAGCTTAGGTGTGGTGCTAGCCACTCATTGCCTCTTTGATGACATGCCCACCCCTGACTAGTCACTGGCCAAGGAACTCAGGTGAATGTGATCAGGTCATTGTCACCATACCCACAGCACAGTCAGAGAAATGGGCAGCCTGAGAGCTCCATTGTAGCAAACACAGCTTTGTGTGATTAGAGGGGCAGTGGACACTGGCAAACAGAACCAACAAAGATGAAGAAAGATGAGGAGTTCTGTTCTTTTATTCCCACTTTCATTTTTTAATTAAAAAATGTAGTTGACACAAGAAATCTGACTTCATTTATCAGATAACCTAATGTTTGTAGTTTCCAGATTTCAAACAACAACGGTCCCTGTAAATACACATATCTGTTGTGAATGGAATCATAAACTGAATACTTTCTATCCCATGAAGAGTTGTGTTTATTTATCTATTTATTTATTTATTTATTTATTTATTTATTTATTTTTAAAGGATTTGTTTGTTTATGCAAGCACTGGGTACAGTCAGAAGGGTGGGAGGGGGAGAGAATTCACCAGAGTCAGAGCGGAGAACAGAGCAGGCAGACTGAGGAAGTACACTGCTGAGGGGAACAGCGGGTGGCAGGAGAGGTCTGTGGGCCATGTGGGACCCTCACCCAGTGGCCAGGGATTGAACCGGTGCTGCGGACAGCTTCGCAGCCCAGCGCTCAACTGCTGCGCCACCGGGAGGCCCGAAGAGTTGTATTTATTAATCTGAAGCTTGGATGAGAGTTCCAGGCTGAAGATGTATTGGGATTTTTTTTAACACAGCATTTGAAATCATGCAAGTTGAGAAAGTAAAAGAATGAAATGTGTAATCTGGACAATAAGAACTTTGAGCATGCAATCAGATAGGAATAGGAACTCCTGAAGACTGGAAAGAAAGGACAAAGATCTAATGTCTTGTTTCACAGAAGTGGAAGATAACAAAAAAGTTGGCATGTTCAGCAGTCTTCATGCAGCAGAGAGGCTTCCAATGAAGGTGTCATTAGTGATCACATAAGTAGTTTTAGTGAAGCTAAGAGTAGTTTGAAATGGAAAATGGAGACAAAACGGATGTCTAGGTGAGGAGAGGTTGTTGTGGGTTGGACTAAACATTGGGGAGGATTGGCTTTGAGTAGAAAGAAGGTATCCTTTCTACAATAAGGATGGTGTACACCTAGGTGTAGGAACATAAGAAAGGTTACTCCTGGGGATTTCAGTTTTCTCAGGACCATCCACAGTAAGATCTGCTTGAAGGTAAGTTAGCAGAAACGACTTGATTCAAGCTGTGTTAATTGGGGAAGAATCTTAGAAGAAAGTCTAACTAGGGATTTCCTAGAGCTATCGAGGGCCTTGATGAGAGAAACAATTTAATTTTTTGTGGCACAATAGTCCTTGATAGTTCATTCCCAAGATCTCTTGAGTTTTGAAAAACTTTGTTTTTTCAGAATAAGTTTCTGAAATCAGAAAGTTTGAGAAGCACTGTTGGGTGTCACAATTTGTACACCTAGGTCTTTCTTCTCCAGACCTGCTCAGAAATTCAAATTGAGGAAGCAAGTGACAGATTGTGGCCTCAGGCAGCACCAGAGTTAGGAGATGTACCTGAAGTGGTACTAGAGTCAGTCAGATGACCTGCCCTGATGTCTGAGCTACCACAGGAAAGAAAATAGCTGATGGACCAGAAAGAGAAGGGCAAGGGTCATGTTCCTTGGCACCCCTGACGTTCAAAGACAAGAAGTGGGGCTCTGAGAGAGCACCAAGGAAAGTCATGGATTGTGGTAAGATGTAATCCCAGCCGCAAAGGGACTTCCTGTCTTAGGGATAATGAAACCTGCATCCATTTAACCTTACATTCATGCCATGCCTTACATTCAGGCCTTACATTCAGCGTGATTCATACCATCTGAGTGTGCCAGTGGATTGTTGTGTGGCATGGGAGGAGGGAGGCCAGGCACTGTGACTGGGATCAGCACCTGCCAGCTGCTTCCTATTTTTTGCCTTTTCTACTTCTGTAGCTACGAACAATGCAATAAAGGAGACCAGAGGTCCACTTACTTTCAAGTAGCAAAAAAATAACTGTTGTCCTTTGAAATTTTTGCCTAGAGGTTTAAGGGCCTAGAATTTAACTTGAAGGAACTAAAAGATCTGTTTTGGAAATACTTAAGTCATAAAAACATCCAGTAGCCTTGAAGTGCCTCCTTACTTAACGCCAAGGTTTAGAGGGAGAAATTATTTAGAAATAATGCTGTTAGAATCTGACTGTGGCCAGGCTCTCCTGGACTTTGCTGACACAAAATGTCTCATTGGGCAAAAGGCCAAATGACTTTGACTCTCCTCTCAAGTCCTTTGGGAAGTGTCTGTAAGCTCTTTTGGCAGGAGGAATGATTGAGAGCAGAAAAGGAGGTCAGTTTTATTGTCTGCATTACAGAGAATAAGACTCTGAAGCTCAGCAAAGAGTATGTCATACATTCACACATCTCCCACATTTTCTGTGGGATTGGGATTTGAGCCAGGATGCCCAAGTCTTGACCACATTGCCACCCTATTCTAATCCCTTGAGGGAGCCTCCTTTAAACCTAGCCTGCTGTGGGGCCATAACATCCTGTGTCACAGCTGCTGGAAAGACAACCTTTTCTGCTCAGACTGTGCTTCAGACTGCGATTTTTCAGACCTCCAGTAGACTCTCAGACTTGTTCATTAGAGCCCTTGGATTTCTCAAAAGTGCCTTGGTGCTGTGGTCTGTGACTTAAGGGAGGCTTTTATCTACTCCCTATCTTAAGGCACCTCTAAGGATTTATTTGAAGAAAGGGACCCATTACTTAAATTGAAAGCCACTGGTCTGAGCATCATTAAATAAAAGGAGATACAAAGATTTTTTTTAAAATAACCCTTTGTGACCTCTTTGCCAGAACACTAATGTCTTTTCTAGCATGTATTCTTTCTCATTGATTCTAAATATGGGAAGTATTTTATTATTTTACTTAATCCTTGTCCTAGCCATAATTAGCTGTGTTCTTTGGATAGCCTCATAGCTTGATCTAGTCCCTGAACACTAGCTACAGAGCAACCATGGAAGGTACTCCTTAGATGTCTTCTTTCTCCCCAATCTCTTTCCTGTTGCTACACTCTCGACATGAAACTTCCCCTGCTGACTACTGGCCAAGTCAAGAGTCTACTTTTGGTTAGGGACCTTGGAGAAAGACAGCAAACTGCAGAGCAGACCAGGAGATCTTTAGTTCACACATCACTCTCAAGAGGAAACTGAAACCAAACTGCACAAGAGTCCAAGTGACCACTCCATTTATGATCTTAGAGGCTTTCTCTGTATTTTGAAAGTTTAAATTAAGCAATGTAAAAATTCTTTGGAGTTGATTTAAGACAAGCACATATATAAAACCTTTTTTTTTTTTGAGATATAATTGACATAAAAGTTTCAAGTATACAACAGTGATGATTCACTATTTGTATAATTATAAAACAATAACAATGTATCTTATTATCATCATCTCCACAACTACAAATTTTTTTCTTGTGATGAGAATTTTTAAGCTCTGTTCTCTTAGCAACTTTCAGATTTGCAGTGCAGTGTTATATAGTCACCATGCCATGTATGTTGCATCCCCAAATTTATTTTATAACTGGAAGTTTTTTGTACCTTTTGACCACCTTCATTTTGCCCATACGTACACCTCCTGCCTCTAACAACCATCAATTTTTTGTGTGTTTATGAGTTTTGTTTTGGTTTTTGGTTTTTGGTTTTTTTTTTTTAGATTCCACATATAAGTAAATTCATGCAGTATTTCTTTCTCTGACTTATTTCACTTAGCATCAATGCCCTCAGAAACCATCTATATTGTTAAATAATATTCCACTGTGTGGTGTGTATCCGTACATATACACAGATGTGCACATACACCACTTTGTTTTATCCATTCAAGTAATGGGCACTTGGGTTGTTTTTATGTCTTGGTTATTGTAAATAGTGCTGCAAGGAACATAAGGGTGTGTGTACACACACACACACACATCTTTTCAAGTTCTTTTTTATTTTTCCTTAAGATAAATAACCTAGAAGTAGAATTGTGGGATCACATGATAGTTCTAATTTTTTTAGAAACTTCCATATCGTTTTCCATAGTGACTATGCCAATTTAGTCTCAACAACAGAACACAAAGGTAACATTCTCTCTACATCTTGCCAACACTCGGTATCTCCTGTTATTTTGATGATTATCCGTCTGAAAGGTGTAAGGTGATATGATAGTTTTGATTTGTATTCCCCTCATGAGTAGTGGTTGGTATTTTTATTGATATAATACTGCTTAATTAATTAGTGATGTTGAGCACTTTTCATATACCTGTTGCCTATATGTATGTCTTTGGGAAAATGTCCTCTTTAAGCTTTGTGCAGTAGCACAAAGTATAGTAGCCAGTGAAGTTTATCCGGGGTGTGGTTATTATTAATTGAAAACTTTTCCCAGTTCCCTACCTTTATGACTTGAATGTAGTTGGCATTGGCAATATTTGATAGTCTCTATGAAGGCTAAATTTTTTGAACATTTAAAAATATCCTTTCAGATCCTCTGATCATTTTTAATCGGAATTTTTTTCCCAGCTATTGTTTGAATTTTAAAATACATTTTGGATGCATTTTATCAGATGCATGATTTTATCAGATGCATGATTTGCAAATATTTTTTCCTGTTTGGTAGGTAGCCTTTTATCTTGTTGATAGATTCCTTTGTTGTGAAGAAGTTTTGTAGTTTGACATAGTCCCATTTGTTTACTTTTTACTTTTGTTGACTTTGGTTTCAATATCTGATCAAAAAAATCATTGCCAAGACTGGTATTAAGGAACTTAATCACCTGTTTTCTTCTAGGAGTTTTATGTTTCAGATCTTATGTTCAATTATTTAATCCACATTGAGTTTGTTTTTTTGTATGATGTTAGTGGTCCCCTTGTATTCTTACGCGTTTGGTGGTTCAGTTTTCCCAACACCATTATTGAAGAGACTGTCCTTACCCTGTTGTATATTCTTGGCTTCTTAGTAATAAATTAATTGACCATATACACATGGGTTTATTTCTTGCCTTTCTGTTCTGTTTCATTGATGTGTACGTCTGTTTTTATGCCAGAACTGTACTGTTTTAATTGCTATTAGTTTGTAATAAAAATAGTCTCCGACTTAATGATGACGACTACAATTTTTCAACTTCATGATGATATTAAAGCAATGTGATATATATTCAGTAAAAATTGTACTTGAATTTTTATCTTTCCCCAGACTAGCAATATGCTGCAACTCCCAGTCAACCATGTAATTCCTTGGGGTAAACAACAATACTTGTATTGTCTTATTTATTTTCAGTACAGTATTCAGTAAGTTACATGAAATATGCAATACTTCATTGTAAAATAGACATTGTACTAGATGGCTTGCCTAACTGCAGGCTAATGTAAGTGCTTTAAGCATTTAAGGTAGGCTAAAATAAACTATGACATGAGTATCAAATGCACTTTCCATTTAAGATATTTCCAACTTACTGGGTTTATTGGGCCATAACCCCATCGTAATTCAAAGAAGATATATATAGTTTAAAAAGCAGATGCTTCCAGCTTTGTTGTTCTTTCTCAAGATTGCTTTGACTTTTTGTGGTTCCACATAAATTTTAGCATTATTTGCTATAGTTCTGTGGGAAATGTCTGTGGGATTTTGATAGTGATTGCACTGAATCTGTAAATTGCTTGAGTAGTAAGGACATATTAACAATGTTCTTTTAATCCATGAGCACAAATATCTTTCCATTTATCTGTATCTTAATTTCTTTCATCAGTGCCTTATAGTTTTCAGTGTACAGGTCTTTCACCTCCTTAAATTTATTCTAAGGTATGTTATTATTTTTGATGCAATTTTATTTTATTTTAAAGATTTATTTATTTATGCAAGAACTGGGGTACAGGTCAGATGCGTGGGAGGGTGAGAGGATTCACCAGAGACACAGCGGGGAACAGAACAGGCATACTGACAAAATACACTACTGAGGGGAGCAGCGGGTGCAACAGAAGAGGTCTGCAGCGCCTTGTGGGACCCTCACAGCCCACCAGGATTGAACCGGCGGTGCTGAAGAGGCTGCGGACAGCTTCACAGCGCTGCGCTCAACCCCCTGCACCACCAGGGGAGGCCCTGATGCAATTTTAAAAGATTTTTTTTATTTCTTTCTGATAGCTTATTATTAATGTATTGAAACATGATGTGTTTTGGGGTTTTTTTTTTTTTTAAGTTGATTTTATATCCTGTAACTTTACTGAATTTATTTATTCTAACAGTTTTTTGTGTAGCGTCTTAAGGATTTTCTATCTATAATATGTCATTTGGAAATAGTGCCAGTTTTACTTTGACTCATTTTTTGGATGCCTTTTTTTTTTTTCTTGCCTAATTTCTTTGGCAAACATGGGCATCTTTTTCATGTTCCTGATATTCGAGGAGCAGCTTTCAGTTCTTCACTGTTGAGTGTGATGTTATCTGTGGGAGAACCTTTGCTTTTTTTAAGAACTGCAAAGCAGACCAGTGATTTAGGAAAAGTCCAGGTTTTGTAGGCAGACTTCTACTTTTAGCCTTTGGCTAATATGTCACCTTTTTGAGTCTTGGTCTGTGATTGTCAGATGGTCTTGTCTTGGGAAGCTCTAATATAAAATAAGCATTCATTTTGCTGGCCTTTATTCCCATGGCAGTGCTTAGCTCTTGTTTTTCATAAATCAGTTTACTTAAACAGGAAATGGAAGGTATTTCATTGACTCTTCCTTCTGCTTCTCACCAATGACAAACCTTTCTCTTTGTAGCTCTGGACTTACTGGACAAAATGTTGACATTCAACCCTCACAAGAGGATTGAGGTAGAACAGGCTCTGGCCCACCCATATCTGGAGCAGTATTATGATCCAAGTGATGAGGTAAGACCCCCTGCTCCTGGCTTCTTCTTCAGAAATGTCTATCAGCCAGCATCATGCCCAGCAGGGTGGGGGCGGGGGCATGGGCAGGAGTAGATATCATGTTTAAATTGTCCTGAAGTACACAATGCCATACCTGGTCTTCCCTACAAGTCCATATCTTCCACCTCAAGGGCTAATGCTGTCAGCACAGCTTGAAGCCCCATCCGCACTTCCCCAAACCCCTTCTGTCTTTGAAAACTTCTGCTAGGACACTAGCAGGAGCAGCAGCAATGGGGCCAGCAAAATGGGTGAATAAAGAGAAGCACAGATAGGGAAGGGATCCAAAACTGGAGATCATTTCATGATTTGTTGCAGTAAATCAAGGTTCTCACCTTGAGAATGGAGAGGTTGGCCGCCTGCTGGGGTAGGATAGCAATGTGCAAAGCAAGGGGGAAGAGCTTGGCTGGATAGTTCACACTATAATTTGGTGACTTCACATATGGTGTATTTCCTGAGTCCAGAGGTAGATGTCCAGTTAGCTGAATGTCCAAGTAAAACATACTACATCTCCTGTTCTTTCCAGGAAAGTTCTAATTCCTTGGCTCTTGAGTCTTCTGGGGGTTCAGTTTAACATCTTTCTCCAGAAGAGTTGTACAGTAAGAACCATAAGTTTGGATCTTTCTAGTTGAGGGTCATATGTACAAACAAACCTTAACAATCCTGTTTTTAAAAGAGGGAGAACTATGTGGAATGTGTTAAAATTAACGGGGAAAATGGAAGGAGAAGAAAAATAACTATAAAAGCTAAAAAAAAATGAAAGAGGAAGAAGAAATTAAAAAGAGGAAGTATTTATTAATCAACTTACCTTTCCATCTCTCTCCCTTGAGAAACAGTTGAGGCAGCTTCGGAAGATACCTACAGCATAGTAAATGACAGGAAAGTAGGTGAGGGTAGAAGGTTTGGGGCTCTTACGGGCCTTGTGAACTGGAGATTTCCTAGGCCCTTGTGTTGTAATCTTGAGCTGGTGATATCCAAAACTTAATGGGGGGATAGGAAAGTTAGAAGGATAGTATATATGGGTCAACTCACATGATCCTACACAAAGTTGTCCTTCTGAAAGTCTTAGGTTTTTTTTCTTACAGACATTAATCTTTTTCCCCATTTTAAGAGGCCAGGAGTTTAGTGCAGAATTTGGGATCCATGTTTCCTTTCATAAAGTCCAGGTCTGAGGATTACGTGGGTAAGATCTGGGAATGCCTGGTGAATATAAAGCATCCATTGATTGACAGTTGGTATTATCAGGTTAATTCTTTTACATTGTATTAGTTTTGGGAACATGTTAAAAAAATCAAAACAGGAGTAATATTGACTATTTTCATTTTTGTCATTAGGTATGTATAGGAGTTGACATAAATAGGCAGTTTAAAACTGTGCTTAAATAGCCTGTTTATTTTCATATATTAGGGTCTAAAGGCAGTACTCAGGCTGTCAATTTTAGCTTGACATTGCTAAAAAAACAAAAATGAAAACTTTCATAAAAGTACAAGACACGGGCCTCCCCTGGTGGCACAGCGGTTGAGCGGTGGGCTGCGAGGCTGCCCGCAACCCCTACAGCGCCGGTTCGTTCCCCGGGCGCCAGCAAGGGTCCCACAAAAAAAAAAAAAAGGTACAAGACAGGTCACTTTATAGCTTGTTAACAGTTACTAAAATTAAAAACTCAGTAATAAAAATTTTAAGTTAGTTATCAAAATCAATCTTTATATATATTAGTATATGTATGTATTAAATGAGAATTTTCCAATGATATTAATTTTCCTTGCAGCTTAATTTCTAATGACTCCATAATATTTTTCTTTTTTTAAAGATTTATTTATTTATACAAGCACTGGGTACAGTCCAAAGCGCGGGAGGGTGAGAGGATTCACCAGAGCCAGAGCAGGGAGCAGAACAGGCAGACTGACGAAGTACACTGCTGAGGGGAGCAGCGGGCGTGGCAGGAGAGGTCTGCACGCCATGTGGGACCCTCGCCAGCCAGCCTGGGATCAAACCGGTGCTACAGTGGCTGTGGGCAGCTTCGCAGCCCAGTGCTCAACTGCTACACCACCGGGGAGGCCCAACTCCATAATATTTCTTAATATAAAGATACTGTGTGATATATTTAACCAAATGCTTTTATTTGAATATCATGGGTTTGATCATATCAACCTGCCGCTATTCCTAATTCCTACAGTAGCAAATTTCTATGATTTAAGACATATTCAGTGCCTTAAAATATTTGAAAATTATTCAGGGATTTGTGGTAAGTTCAGAACACTCAGAATGGTTCAATTGCTCCCTCTCCATTTATTTAAACCTTATGAGAAGTGTGCTTTCAGGAATGTGGAGTCCAAGTGTTATAGATGTGTCAGTCCTATTGTATGATTATTGGAATGTAGCCATAGTCATTTTATGACTCAGTAAATGATTGCCTTAACCATAATAACTTTTTTATTTACTAATTGTTTTGTTTTCTCTTAAAGCCCATTGCTGAAGCACCGTTCAAATTTGACATGGAATTGGATGACTTGCCCAAGGAAAAGCTCAAAGAACTCATTTTTGAAGAGACTGCTAGATTCCAGCCAGGATACAGATCTTAAATTTGTCAGGTACTTAGAGCTTTGACCACATAGGAAACCCTAGCAAGGAAGGGGAGTATACAAATCAATTGTTACTAATAAAAAAAGAGGGTTTGAGCTTAGCGCATAAGGTGTGGTAGACAGTGCTGCGCTATTGGTAGATTTTTCAGGGACTAGTGTTGGAGCAAAAGAAAATGCAAATCTTGATTTTAAAAAATATATAGCAAGAGGAGAGACAATAGGGCTTGTGTTAAAATGAGCAGTCAAGTAAGGAATTATGAATTATGACCAAGGGCTGAAGCAGTTGCTGGGTAAATGATTTGGACTGTTCTGCAAGGAAGAGCCCTAGGTATCCTTCGGTAGACAGCATTGTCTTGTGCAAAGTGGACAGGTAGCAGAGCAGGTACCATGTTTGTATTGGAATAAGAGGCCAGCCTGGTGGAGTTATGGAAGAATGGTTCCTGCAATGGTGTTTGTTTAGGGGTTTTCTATTAGCTGGATCTCTCTTCTCTTCTCTCCTGCTGTGTCCTTTATTTTCATATGTTTGACCCTGGAGGCAATTACTCAGGCTGACTGTTGGCAGCATCCAGGCTTGAAAGCAGAAGCCACTTGAAGTCTTTCAAATAGAGAACATGTCATCAATCAGAAGGCATTAGAATGGTTCAAGAACAAAATGGGGTTGGTTTGCCTGCAGATTGGTAACAGTAAAAAACTGCCCTGGGTCACCATGCAAGGGAAAATGTTAGCCAGGGTCCTCAGTTACCACACAAGGGAGGATACTAGAAGTGTAATGTAACTGCAGCCTTTAGAGCACGACTGTCACTGAGGAGGAGTTGGGAGTCCATACAGTCACTGATGTGGAGGATCTCAGGGGTAGTAGATGCAGGCATGAGCGATTTAAGAGGGCTTCACTGGTGAGGCAGGGACAGACAGAGCAGAGCCAGGGAGTTAGACCTGCGTGTGAGCCCGGGCACAGTCATCCTGTGAGGATTCTGCAGTCCAGGTAGGGCCTAAAACATAAGACAGGTGACCCAGTAAGGATGTCAGGGAGCAGGAACCTGTGGGACAACCAGCCAGACTTCCGGGGGAAAAGGGCAGCCCAGCAGGTACAGGGGAAGTGACACTAGGAGGAGAGAGCTCCTGGTGCCACGGAGAGGTCCCTCAGAGGGCCCACCCCAGTTCTGAGAGTCCAGGACTGGGGCTAGTTACCATGTGGCAAAGACAGTTATTCTGTGTTGTGGTCACTTCCACCAGGGCCACAGGAGGCACGTGTTTCCTTATTTTTTAAGTGACAATTTTCAACTGTTCTGAAAAGTTGAAAGAGTTTTACAGTTGACAGCATATTTCCATTACCTAGATTCTATGAGTAATGTTTCCCCACACTGGTTTTCTCACATGTCTGTCCTTCTGTCTATCCATCAGTCCATCTTTTTTTCTTTTCCATTTCACAGGAAGTTGTCAACGTCTACACTGACTTACAATTTAGTCATATGGAATATAAAAGTGAATCCAGAGAAAGGTGGGACTGGGAGGACTCATTAAACTCTGAGCCCAGTTCTTTCATGAACATTTTATTTTGACCTATCACAGCATCTCTGAGGTCAGCTTCTGGGCTTAGGTCTATGATAGAGAAAACTCTGTAATATTTCCTTGCTTAAGATTATATGATTATATATAAGATCTATGGCAAAACTGCAGAGAATCCAGAAATCTTTTTTTTTTTTTTTTTAATTTTGTCTCTCCACACAGCCTGGACTAGATTTGTGTCTTGACAAGTATACAGAACACTGTTCCTGAGCTCCCAGCCTACAACATTGAAAATAGAAGCTGCAAATTAGAGAGTCTGAGAGGTATAGTTGATGTTACACATGTAGGCACTTTAGAGAAAGGTGATGGCTGACTCTCTGGTTACAGTAAGAAGAAACTAGAAAACTGCATACACAGGACCACAGAATATATAGCCATAGGCCCTTTAGGAGAGAGGATGACAGAGACTACTCTAGGGGAAGCTTCAGGTTGCCCCTGTTTAACAGGGGCACAAGCCTTCCTGATGTCTACAGTGGCAGCCCTGAGTGAGTGGCTTAAAGGGTCAAAGTATGTTCATTATATTAGGAGAGTCAATTTTAGAAATTAAAAACTTTCCATTTAAAGTTTAAAAAGTGTATCATCTGCCTGTTTTTGAATTTTCTCAGGTGGATTGATTATAGCAGAGTGTTGACTCATTTCCCTATTGCTTTGTTGAAGATAAAAGCATTTTTAAGGCAGTTTTAATTTCTTGCCAGCCAGTAGGTTTGCCTGCAGATAAAAGTAGCATGCCTGTAGATAAAGGTCATATTTCATTGCTGAGCCTCTCTCCTTGTCACATAGTTGGGCCTCGTTCTTCCTGCCCTGACAAGAGAGTGGGAAATGAAAACCACCCATCAGAAAGTGCTCTGTGAGGGCCTCCCCTGGTGGCGCAGCGGTTGAGCTCTGGTCTGTGAGGCTGCCCCACAGCCTCTGCAGCGCCAAAAAAGAAAGAAAAGAAAGTGCTCTGTGAAATACTGAAGTGACTGTCATTCTGCTAGATCATTATACTAGCAAACATTTTACACTGAGTCTCTAAAAAGAAGAGTCTAATTTGTTTTTATTTTGACACATTTCATTACTATAATGACCACCTCAACCAGGCTGCCTCATCAGAACCAAGAACTTAGAACACAATTTGAGTGGCTGTGTTTTCACTTCTCGCAAGGATGGAACAAAACTAATAGTGACCTAGGAGTGAAGTTAATTCATCACATACAGTGATGCCATAGACAGTGGTCCTCAATAGTATGTTCCATTGGTGCACTGCCCCCCAGCAGTCTATCAAGATCTCCAGGAAATTCTCAAGCTTATGTTTGAGTATTAGTAGCCTTTAATGGTCAGAATCAGCTTGACTGGGAATATTTCTCTAAGTACAAGAGAGGCATTAGGTAACAATGGGAAAATATGCTACTTGTGCTGCTTTTATAGTACAACACACTCCTGGCAGACCTCATGCCAGTAGCCCACATGCAGACACCTGGAAGGCCAGTTGTGGACCCTGTCAAGTGCAGAAAAGGAGTGAATGCGGTCAGCAGATTGCCATCTCCTGATTTCCAGGGTGCTGTCTTGGAGGCCTAAAAGGAAAGAGCTGACGGATCACCTCTGACCTGGTGATCAGACCATTTCTGGTGCACGGAGGCCATGCCATGGCTTCTGCCTTTCAGGAATCCAGGCCCACCGACCTCATGCTTCCAATTTGCACTTTGTTTTGCTTGTTCTGCTGTGTCCCAGAGAAAACTTGAACATTTTTAGTACAACACACTTTCTGTATCAATGTGGTTGATACTATCCATACCCTGGTCACTAGAGAGGGAGACTGACTTGCTGAGAATACAAGAAGGTAGAAGAGTTTTTTGCATACGTATGTGTTTTTTTATAAAACCCCTCACACTAGCTTTGACTATTGGAGTGGTAGTAGGTATCATGCAGTTGACCAAAGCTGTCATGTGAATGAAGGTAGCTGTGAGCACATTAGTGTATATGTACATACATGTGCGCATATGTGTGTGTTCCCTCTGAGTATGATGGAAACATCCTCTGAAAAGAGGTGCCTGTGAAATGAAGGCAGAAACCCACCCTTTCAAACTGCCCAGTGGTTTCCAAGTGCCGTTGGTGACCTTGCTGTCATTTTTTTTCCTTTTGCTTTTTCACATCCCCATTTTTTCCTAATTGATAGTCTCATGTGGCTCATTTTACTCTTTCCATTTCCCTAAAGCTGTTGTTGATGTTATTTTAACATAGTTCATTCTTAACTCATTGTTTGTTTTTCAATAGGACAAGGGCTCAGAGGACTGGACGTGCTCAGACATCAGTGTTCTTCCCAGTTCTTGACCCTGGTCCTGTCTACAGCCCGTCTCGGCTTACTCACCTTGACTCCTTTGAGCCATTCGGAGGGGTGGTTTCTGGTAGTTGTGGCTTTTATGCTTTCAAAGAATTCCTTCAGTCCAGAGAACTGGACTGGCACCCCTGTATGTCACCCACTGGTGACTCGTGGCAGTATGTACTTTCAGTGCACCTACTGCTTACCGTCGCTTTTGTCACTAATCGCTTTCTGGTTTGAAAGATGCAGTGATTCCTCCCTCCCCCTGAATCCTTCTTGACACCTCCTGAACCATGCTATCTGCAGCCACACCAGAGTTAGTTCTTTCTAAATTGGCTCTAGTCACTGGCATCTCACTTTACGATAGGGAAGGCTACTATCTAGGGCACTTTAAGTCAGTGACAGCCCTTATTTGCACTTCACCTTTTCATCATATCTGTTTCCCTGGAGCAGGAGCTCTGGAAACACCTGGGATGGTGTTGCAGCCTGCAGCAGGTGCTCCCATCTCGGGAATCTTGGGGGCATTTGCAGCCCATCTTTTCTCATATCACGTTAGTCACTAACATATTTAAAGTATGTGCTGTTTGCCCAACTTTTAGAAACTTAATCATTTTTCTAAATAAAAAGAAGTACTGCACCCAGCAATTACACTCTGTGCATTTACTGTGGTTACTTACACCATCATAGAGGTATAACACTTACCAAAATGTGTTATATGCAGTACTTACATTTGCAAAACATAAGCAAAAAGAGCAAAGTGACAACTTCACTTGGCAATTAGTGAGAGAGATGGAAAGGTCATAGCAGGGTGCTGAGGGAAGTACCTGGAGAAGTAGCCAGCAGGCTGACCAGATGTTACAGGATGGAGTTCCAAACATCCACAATGCTATACCCCTGTGCAACCTCACCCGGTATGCCACATTAGTGCAGCCACACTCAATGCAGAGAGGAACACTGCATCTTCAAATGAGAAAGTGTACAATTCTTTTTCCTCTTACAGCATGTCAGCATCTCAAGTTCATTTATCAACCTACAATATAACAATTTGTAATAAAGCCGTCATGAGCTCATGACATGAAGCACTATTCTGTCATCAAGTATTCTCAGATGTTTCTGATACTGCTGAGTTAAGACCATCAGAAAAAGCTAGCACTAAGTCATGTTTGGAGCTCTAGCCCATATTTTCCTGATCTCTTTAAGTATTTGTTCCTGCCACTGTACACTGTGGCGTTGACTCGCTGTTCTGTCCCAGTGCAGTGCCTCCTCCTGACTCCCCCACTGCTCTCTGTGGTGAGAAACTTGCCTTGTTCAATAATTACTGTACCCTCGCATGACTGTTACAGCTTTCTGTGCAGAGATGACTGTCCAAGTGCCACATGCCTATGACTGAAATGACAAATCTATTGTTACCTCTGAGTTGTGTTCCACGGAAAATGCTATCCAGCAGATCACTTATGAAAAATAATTCTATTTTTAGCTTTTCATTTCTCAGCTGTCCTTTTTTTCTCGTTTGATTTTGACAGCAATGGAGAATGGGTTATATAAAGACTGCCTGCTTAATATGAACAGAAATGCACTTGTAATTCATGAAAATAAATATACATCTTTTATCTTCATATTCATGTTAAGATTCAGTGTTGATTTCCTCTGGATCAGCGTGTCCATGTGGACAGTCAAGTTCAGTTTGTGGTTAGGACAGAAATGCTTATGGGCCTCACCTTCCCACCTGGGTACTGCCCCAACACTTTGTTTTACATGAGATGATTTACAAAGCATTTCTGTAAGGTCCTTTTTTTCCCTCTGACAGCAGAACATCAGCTCATATGTTCTTTTTATATAAATCATAAGTCTGAAATATTCCGTCAAACTGATGAAGAGGCCCAGATGTCTCAGTCTTGATTCTCTGGTTCGTTCCACATAGGGCCTATCTCTGTGCCCCAGAGCTGTTGCAGGGCACAACTGAGTGCTGGGAAGGGCTACCCAACATCTCGGGGCCCATAACCCAGTCCAGGGTGCTGACACTCACACCTCACAGACTTTAAAGAGGGATGACTGGCTTATCTTCAGAAATCAGAACCACTTTGAGATTCTTGTCCTAAAATACATGATTTTCACCTCCGTGCACAGAACAGCCATGTGAAGGTCCACACAGCCTTGACAGGTTACAGAGATTTGACTGTTGCTTAATAATTGATGTCAGTTTTCATTTCAAAGAAGCATTGACAGTTTTACTATTACTGTTTCTTTGTACTTTTAAAATGGAATGTTGTTGTTGCTATGAGGTTAATCTGCAGTCCTCTAAATAGAAAGCCATAGCCTTGGTTACTAATACCTGGGGATTATGGGCTCCTTTCCCACCCCGCTCACTGGTACAGTGGAGTCAGATTGACTTGAAACCACTAACTGTGTTCTAGAATCACTGTAGCCATAAGTTGTATGCTTTTTTTTTTTTTGAATCATGCCAAACTTGATTTAACAGATCAGAAAATTGTCATAACCAAGATATTTGTGCAGAGTACTAGCTGTTATGTATAATAGACTCATCATTGGATCTTTTTGCATCTCAAAAAATGTACAGATTAGGTCTTCTAAATTCATGTTGGTAATGCTGAATGCCTTTATTAGTAATGTCCTCAGATAAGCTTTCAGTCGTTTTGGTGTCTAAAATTCAAGCAAAAACAAAAAAAAATCCTGTTGAAACATTCCAGTCGTTTAATTTATTATGAGGCAAAATATACCTAACAAGCCAGTGGGCTGGATTTGAGAAAACTCATGACAACTCTGCTGATAAAGTCTTCAAAGCTGATACCGACACGCAGACCATTTTGATGCATGGGTAGAAGAATATCATTGTATTTTGTATGCAGTACATAGTGTGTGGTGTGTTCACATAATTCCTTCTGCTGTAGGCAAAGGTGATGGGCATGGCAGTGCCTGTTAGCTTTCAGGAGCCACATGCAGCTCATCAGTGGTTGTCTCTAAGGAATCACAGATCTACTCCCCATGCCGCATGCCACATAATATTCAGACCATTCAGAGGAGACTTTTACCTTTATTTGCTTATGTGTCCATACAGTTTTTAAATTGGTGACTTTTATATAGTATGGTAACAGTATGTTAATATACACACACATACATACGCACACATGCTTTGGGTCCTTCCATAATACTTTTATATTTGTAAATCAATGTTTTGGAGTAATCCCAAGTTTAAGGGACATATTTTTGTAAATGTAGTGGTTTTGAAAATCTGAGCAATCGTTTTTGCTTATACATTTTTAAAGCATTTGTGCTTTAAAATTGTTATGCTAGTATTTGAAATATGATACTCTTATAATGCAGATGAAAAGCATGTAACAGTAGAGTAAGTATGTGATTTCTCTCACTGTAATCCAGACTTGGCATAATTGATCAGAAACAACTAGGAATCCAGAAGTAATTCTCTAGGGTTGCACAGGTTTACCTAAAGCTCGTTGCCTTCTTTGTGCTGTTTACCCATGTAGAGCACTCAAGAAAGTTCTGAAATTGCTTTGTATCTACTTTGTATTGTTGGTGCCTTCTTGGTATTGTATCCCAAAACTCTGCATAGATTATTTAGAATAATGATAAGTTTAAAAAAAAATGTTAAAGGAAGATTTTATTAAGAATCTGAATGTTTATTCATTATATTGTTACAATTTAACATTTATTTGTGGTATTTGTGATTTGGTTAATCTGTATAAAAATTGTAAGTAGAAAGGTTTATATTTCATCTTAATTCTTTTGATGTTGTAAGCGTACTTTTTAAAAGATGGATTATTTGAATGTTTATGGCACCTGACTTGTAAAAAGAAAAACTACAAAAAAACCCTTAGAATCATTAAATTGTGTCCCTGTGTTACCAAAATAACATAGTACTGTGCATGTATAGTTTAACTGGAATTTCATGTGAAAATATGAAGTTACTAGTCCTTTATTACAATGTTTCCCAAATAAGTGTGTCTTCCTAATTTGATTTTGCTAACAGCAATTAGTAATAGAACCTTTAACTGGTACTCTAAATTTCAGTGGGATGTTAGTGCTCCATCACGTTTTCCAGATTATTCTTCAGACCTTTGACTTTAAAGGGAAAAAAGGCAGTGCTGGGAGTCCTAGTGCAGTTTCCATGTCCATCTCTTCTCGTCTTCCTCAACTTCAACTGAGCTGCCAGGTGTCACTGCAGCCTCTCTTTTTTTAGACCAAGAAGTAATGAATATATTAGGGAATATTGGACATTTGGTTTTTGGACATCATGCAGTTACTTACTTATAGCACTGAAATATAGGAAGTATTTCTCATGTGGTGGTATAGAAAGGACACAGGCTTTGGGCCCTCTGCCTTTGACTGCAGCTGACTTTTGGCCAGTTACTGTGCTGCTCTAAGCTTCAGTCTGTGAGCTTCATACTCTCAGCTGTAATCAGTATACTTGCCTTGCTTGTGGTAAGGATTATGAAAATACATATTTGAAGTGTTAACCATAATACCTCAAAACGGGTACTTAGTAACATTTTCCTAAATATTATCATAAGGTACTCAGTAACATCTTCCTAAATTTTGTCATAAGGTGACACTAAAATGTCTGCTAACTAAACTGCTTTCTGTTAATCTGAGAGAGAAAAAACTTCCTACTCCACGCTAAACTGGGAGTTTCTGATGGGATATTCTATGGCAGAACTGCATCTGCTTTCCATCTGAGAGAGTACCAATTAACATTCTTCGTTGTTGTCCAAATCCTATAAAAAACAATCAAAATGATTCTCTTCGTTATCTATAGAGAAGCCTAATAATAAGTATTTGCCCACTTTAATTATGAGGAGTGCTTTCCTTAGCAATAGTGCGGCCATTCTGGCTAGTGGTATAGAACATCTTGGCTAGCCTGGTTCATTTTATTTCACTAGAGAGGCCCTCTGAGAGAAGTAGGAACCAGCCCAGGTCATGGGGATAACAGAGTGGGTGGAGGTGAGGTGCAGGCCAACCCTCCTGAACCCCTAAGTGTGGAGAGAGGAAGAAGAATTGAGTATCCACAGAGGAGCTGTGGAAGAATCAAATTGTCATGGGGCACAGACATGATCATCATTTGAGTTTAAGCGATGAGGGAGAGACAGTAAAGGGTTTGGAGCTGGTCCTATGAGGCCCAGCAATGGATCACGTGGAAAGGGCCACTAAAGACAAAAGGTCACTTTCTAGGCAGAGAGGAAGAAATGAAGTGACTGTGTACCCAATAACATGTCTTTTTTTTTTAGGTTTATTTATTTATACAAGCACTGGGTACAGTCAGAAGCGCGGGAGGGTGAGAGAATTCACCAGAGCCAGAGCGGGGAGCAGAACAGGCAGACTGACGAAGTACACTGCTGAGGGGAGCAGCGGGCACGGCAGGAGAGGTCTGCACGCCATGTGGGACCCTCGCTGATGGCTGGGGATGGAACTGGCATTGCAGAGGCTGCGGGCAGCTTCGCAGCCCAGTGGGGAAGCCCAATAACATGACTTTTTCAGGTGAAGTAAACAGAAGCTTTAAGAATGAGGAAGGGCCACCAAGGGAAGTGGGAATAAGAATACCCTGCCAGGGCCTCCCCAGTGGCACAGCGGTTGAGCGCTGGGTTGCGAAGCTGCCCGTGGCCTCTGCGGCACCGGTTTGATCCCCGGCTGCTCCCCGGCCACCGGAGGAGGGTCCCACATGGCGTGCAGACCTCTCCTGCCGCCCGCCGCTCCCCTCAGCAGTGTACTTTGGTCCTTCTGCCTGCTCTGCTCCCCGCTCTGGCTCTGGTGAATTCTCTCACCCTCCCGCGCTTCTGACTGTACCCAGTGCATGTATAAACAAAAACAAACAAAATAAAACATGCCTCTAAAAAAAAAAAAAAAAAAAAGAATACCCTGCCAGCGTGAGTGCCCAAGTCTGTAGTGAGTACTGACCAATGGAGTGACAAAGTTTTTCTCTTGCAGTGATGTCACTACCTGAGTGGCAGAACAGAGCAAAGAGGAGGCACGAGGGGACTGGGGAGAAAGTGAGCTAACAGAGGAGAGCAGAATCGTGGAGGCCTCACTGCGTAATGAATGTGTGGGAGCTACAGGGCAACAGGAGCCAGCTCTGTCTTGTCACCCTTGGGGCTAGCAACATGTGTCAGGCCGTGGCAGTAGCTATACTCTCCATTGCAAATGACCCAGTTGAAGAAATCAAACATGTAGGTTTCCTTTTGCTTGATTTCCTGCTGATGCAGGAATCTTTCCCCAGATCAGTTCATCAAACTTAAGTACCCACTATATATGCCTGGTGCAAAGATAGCAGCTGCACCGTGTCAAAGGGCAGGGCTTTGCCTTCCAGGAAGTCCCAACAGTTGAAAGAAGGGAGATATCCTTTCAGCCATAAAAGGCCAACACCGCATAGCTTTGCCATAATTAATGTATTTGTGTCCATGAATGGGTGGGTTTGAAAGATAAATAATTACAGCAGGACTGTGAAAAAGTCTTTCTCGTCTGCAAGCAAAGTTTTGTCTTTTCTTGAGGACCAGAAAGTTTCCGTAGGTTGTCACTTCTCCTGGGCCCACCACAGTGTTATAGGCACACAGAAAATAGGCAGAAACCTCTTTATTTTGAAATTAAAGACACTTAGGGCCTCCCCTGGTGACGCAGCGGTTGAGCGCTGGGCTGTGAAGCTGTCCTCAGCCTCTGCAGCACCGGTTCGATCCCCAGCCACCTGCAAGGGTCCCACATGGTGCAACAGACCTCTCCTGCCATGCCCGCTGCTCCCCTCAGCAGTGTCTTCCGTCTGTCTGCCTGTTCTGTTCCCCGCTCTGGCTCTGCTGAATTCTCTCACCCTCCCGCGCTTCTGACTGTATCCAGTGCTTGTATAAACAAATCTTTTTAAAAAAGGAAAGAAATTAAAGACACTTAATCACCAATACCAAGAACTGGAAAAATTCCTGTTTGCATATACTCTTCATCCTCCATTGCCTAATTTCTGTCTCAAACTGAGCCTAAGGTATTCTCTATACTGATGTCCTGAGAGATTCATGATGCTTTCCCCTCTACTGGAGGGGAGCTGCTGGCTCCTGAGTCGAAGCCTGTGACATGCAGGGCCTGTCAGGACCGGATGCCCAGCTGTTTAAGCCTGCGGTTCTGTGGGCCTCAGGCTTGGGAATGGAAGGGGAGTGAGTAACAGGTGAGGGAAGCCCCGAAGTGGATATTGCACAGGATTACTCTTGAATCTCTTTAGCTGATTTTGAAAATCTAGTACTTATATCCCACATATCCCTAGTTTTCAGTTTTAGAAATATTTTTATCACCTGTTCTCCTTCAGGGAGCAAAGTCAAAGTTTACCTGCTCTGGGTAAGCAAGGGTTGTGGGGCCTCCCAGCACCTCTACCTGTCGCCACTTCCCCCCCCCCCAGCCAAATGGCATAACATTTCTGCCCTGGAGGAATCAAAAAATGATCAGAGAAGCTAAACAAGGGGCTTTTTCTTGTGAGGGCAGTCCAGGCTGATGACTTCCAAGCTTGCTCATATGTTGAAACTAAAAAGTCACACTGCCTTTACTCTTCTTACCCAGTGTTTTTTCTAACAGGCCTCTGGAAGAGCAGGGTACTCATCAGGTGTGGTTAGAGAAAACAAGTCCAGTATCACAAGAAACGAGATAGATAATCTCCCCATCTGATTTTACATGGGCTGATGTGGACAACTGTGAGGGGCACAGGGATCAGGGACACAGCTTTTCCAAAGCAAAGAATAGCAAAAATAAAAACACCTTGTCATAGTCCCAATGAATAGTCAATCAAGTATATTACTGTCTGCTTACAAGAAGAGACGCATGCAGTACCCTTAGTAATTAGGGAAATGCAAATTTAAAATAAGGTAAAGTGCCATTTGATGCATACCCTACCTTTATGCCAAAAAAAAAAAAAATGATGAAAGCCAAATGTAAAGTTGTATGGAAATATGTACTTTTTGGCATGGCTAACAGTGCTATAAATGAACACAGTAGAACTAGGAGATGTAAATGGAACCAATCAGATGTGCTTTGACTCAGTAATTCCATTACTGAAATTTTCCCCCTAGACAATATTTAAAGAGACAGCAGCCACACGTGCAAAGCTGTTTGCATTAGCATTGTTTGTAATAGCAGGAGAAGATAGTAGGCTCCTTAGGAAATGGCCTTGCAAACAGCCAGTCAACACAGCAGTCACAGTGTAGAACATCACCCTCTCCCTTTGAGCCTCCCTCCAATGTGCAAGCCTCGCCACACTTTAGAATCAGGTAGCTTCCTGTCTGCTCTGAAATGATGTTACCCTCTCTCGTCCACTTGTTAGAAAATTCTTGGAAAGCACACTGGCTAGCTTATCTTGGCACGCCTGCTGCCCAGCAGGCTCTGGTACAAAGAAAAGCTACCAAAAAGCCTGATGTTCAAACGGGGACATGGACCAGCCACAGTGCCTTACCCTAGTGCCTTGTTAAAAACACAGAATCTGGTTTAAGACAATAAACTTGAAGTTATGTATATGTTGCCACAATTAAAAATGCAGAGCCTGGGCCTCCCCAGTAGTGCAGTGGGTTGAGCACAGCACTGTGACGCTGTCCGCAGCCTTTGCAGTGCTAGTTCGATTCCCGGCCAGGGAGATTCCCACATGGCACGGCAGACCTCTCCTGTCTCACCCGCTGCCGCCCTCAAGCATTGCTTTTGGTCCTTCTGCCTGTTGTGCTTCCTGCTCTGTTTCTGATGGATTCTTTCACCCTCTCGCACCTCTGGCCTGTACCCCGGTGCTTGTATAAATAAATAAATCTTTTTTTTTTAAATGCAGAGTCTCAGGCCCCACCCCAAACACGCTGCACTTCAGCATTCACATTTTAACAAGACCCCAGTGATTCATTTAAAATTTGAGAGCTGACTTTGTGTTGGATGTGTGATTGCTCTTAAAGTATATATTCCCTTCACTAGTTATTACTTCTAATGAAAACATACACTTCCCCCCACTGTGAGAAGCTGGTCTTTGTTGTCTCCAAATTTCTTTGTACAAAAAATGGAGAGTTGGCAGCTGGCATACTCCAAGGACAGCATGATACCATGGCAACTGCTTCCATCAGTAACTTCATCTCTGCTTTTATATATCTTTTCTCAGTCCTGAAGCTGGGGATTTTCTAATTTGGAAAAAATAGAAGATGACTTGTGGTTGCTATGCCGACGTCAGTGGCATACTTCCTGAAGGACTGCATAAAGGGAATGATCAGCAAACCAGACTTTTAAGCCTCAAGGAGCTTCTGAGTGTGTCCACTTGGCTGAGGAGAGCACTGGGCAGTGAGATCCCTTCTGTGCTATAGTCACAGCTAAGCAGGCCATTTGGTGTGGCCAACCAGAGGGTCTTCAGCAGGATTCCCATGTGGAAGGCAGCTGGAAGATCCTGTTGGAAAATTGCTTTGATATCTTTCTACCACTAGACCTAGTATATTAGCTCCAGCTGCCACAACAAATCTCCACTGAGGGCTTAAACAACAGGAATTTGTTTCTCACAGTTCAAGAAGTTGGCAGTCCAAACCTGGTGGATTCTCTCACCTTCCCGCACCTCTGGCCTGTACCCCAGTGCTTGTATAAATAAATAAATCTTTTTAAAAGATTAAGTTAAAATGAGACTGTTGTCTCATTTTAACTTAGTCGCTTCTTTTAAGACTGTATTTCCAAATACAGTTCCAATGGAGGAGTGGGGGACACGATTCTGCCTGTAACACCTGGCCAGTGTGAGGACCTCCATCATGTCTGTGCAGGGCCCAGCTCCAGCGTGTGAAAACCAACATGTCCTCATGCTGCATGGGGCTGGAGAGCCTCTGATGGGCTGAGCCAACTGCAATGTCATGGATTCCATATTCCCATCCACTTCTGAAATGCGTAACCTGTCTCTTTCACCGATGTTGGACTTCAGTCAATCATCGGGCAAGCTTTATAGATAGCTGTTTAACAACACCGTTGACCCCCATGGTACCCTCCAAGATTCACAGGTTCTCCAAGATACACCTGCCACTTTGTGGTGCTGCTTTCGGTGCACTGAGCATCCTGAGAGGAAAGAGCTGATGTCAGGATGACACTAACCTTCCTTGGCATCAGCCCCAGGCATCTTGGAAATCATTTACTCCATCACTCCTTCAGCAAAATGGAGAAGAGACCAAGTCCCTGCCCTCAGGGCTCTCACATCTTAGTAAGGGGAGATGAACTCTAAGGGAGGGGGTGAGTTACAGAGGAA